TAAAAAGCAGTTTTTTTTGTTTCGAAGAGTCGTGTCCTTTCGGAAAAGCGGTTATTTTTCAAAGAATTGTGTCTTTTCATAAAAAAAAGTTTCTATTTCGTAGAGTCGCGTCTATTCGGAAATATCCGCTTTATGGAAGGTTGTGTCTTTTCGAATTTATAGGGTCACGTCTTTTCAAAAATATTTTGTAGAATCTGTGTTTTTTTCAAAAATAACTGTTTTATGGTTATTTTGAGGAGTTTTATTTTTTAGAATTCGTAGGATCGTGTATTTTCAAAATATTTCGTAGAGTCGCATCTTTTCGAAATAACCGCTTTATGGTTATTTTGAAGGATTGTGTCTTTCCAAATTTGTAAGATCGCGTCTTTTCAAAAATAACTGCTTTATGGTTATTTTGAAGGGTTGTTTTTTCGAATTTGTAAGGTCGCGTCTTTTCAAAAATATTTTGTAGAGACGCGTCTTTTCGAAAATAACTGCTTAAAGGATTGTATCTTTTCGAATTTGTAAGGTCGCGTCTTTTAAAAAATATTTTATAGTCGCGTCTTTTCAATAATAACCGCTTTATGATTATTTTGAAGGGTTGTGTCTTTTCGAATTTGTAAGGTCGCGTCTTTTCAAAATATTTCGTAGAGTCGCGTTTTTCGAAAATAATTGTTTTATGGTTATTTTAAATGGTTGTATCTTTCGAATTTATAGGGTCGCGTCTTTTCAAATTTATAGGGTCGCATCTTTTTAAAAAAAATTATAGAGTCGGGTCTTTTCAAAAATATCCGTTTTGTAGTTATTTCGAATGGTTGTGTTTTTTTATTCTACATGATTAATTTTTTGTATCAGTTCACTGTAATATGCTTCAAAACAAAAAATCAATTTAAACCTAGAGAATGGTTTTGTTTATGAAATAACACCAAAAAAACAAATTAGCCAATTCGCTAATTCAAATAAAACCTATATGATGATAATTGTTTTCTTCTAAAAGTGTAGTCCGGAAGTATTTTATCCTCCGCGATTTCGCGGGGGTTCGAATCCTAGTTTAATTTAATAGGAACGGGAAATGGAATAATTTTTTTATGAAAAGATCGTAACAAAATAAAGATGAAAAGGGTTATTTTTGTTTGTATTGTTTAACAAATGGTAATAGAAATGGTGGTTCACTCCATATATACATTGCATATAAATTTTATTTCGTTAATTTAGGACTAATATATGGTGATTACACAAACTCTCTCTAAATATATAGGTGTTTCATATGCTTGCTTGTTGGGTTGAAGACCCAGAGAGTGATTATTTCATTACAAGAAAATACAGTTTTAGCGTCGGCAAAATTCGATGCTAAATCGATGTTAAAGTCTTTTAGCATCGACTTAGCGTCGAATGACAATTCGACGCTAAACTGTTGACGCTAAACCGACTTTGACGCTAATTCGACGCTAATTTAGCGTCGGATTACTTTCGACGCTAACTCGATGCGATATATCGATGGTAATTCGATGCTAAAATGACGTTATATTAGCGTCGATTTAGCATCGACATAAGACGGATCCGATGCTAAATCGACGCTATTTTAGTATCGGAAAAATCGACGCTAAAACGATGCTATATTTCGATGCTAATTCGATGCTAATTTAACCTCGAAATAGCATCGATTGTTTTCGACGCTAATATAGCGTCGATTTAGCATCGGATCCGTCTTATGT